GACTCCCTTCTTGACCTCCAGACCTTCATATCTAACTGCAAAAAAGTCAACTCCACTGAGATGACAAATAAGCATCTCAAAGTTATCATGTACTACAAACCAACATGCCCCAATGTACCAGCTCTTCTGAAGTCTTTTTTGTCTCGGTTAATAGCAACTCCATTCTTCAGCTGTTCAGGTTGCTCAAAAGGAAATGGTTGTTGGATCCATTTTCAGAACACATACAGAATTTGATCATTTCTCCCTTATACTTGCTATCATCACTTTGGTCCAAGTCCCAATCATCTCTGCCATGGATTATTGCAGTAGCTTACTAATTGGTGTCCTGGGTTCTATTCCCATTCTTTTGGTCAATCCTTCATACAACAGACAGAATGCTCTTGTAAAATTGTGAGTCAAATTATTTTAATGTTTCCCCTTCTCACTCAGATTTTTCAAAAAGAGCAGGAGAGTCCACGTGGTCTAGGCCTTATTACTTCTCTGATACTATACTCTATACTCCTCTCTCTCACTCATCTATAGTCACACTGACCCCCATGCAGCTTTTCAATGATCCCAGGCACAATCTTCATCCAGAGTTCCTGCACTTCTATTTCCTCTCCATGGAATACCCACCTCCCACCTCTAAATCCACATGGCTAGATCCATCACTTTCTTTAAATATTTACTTTCCTTGGTAAGACCTCTCTTCTCATCTGACCTCAAGTCTTATACCTTCTGAACATTTTATGTGCCACTTCACTGCTTTTGTATTTCTTTCTTTATCAATAAATTAGTTTAATTTATCTTTTTTCTAACTAATATTCAGTATATCTAAAGCTTGCTATATTGCCTGGTACACAGTAAGTGTTCAAGAGATGAACAGATGTTGCCTCCAGATTAAAGTGTTTGCCAACAAGGGGCAGCTTCTTGGGAGTGGCAAGCTCTCCTCCAGTAAGGGAAACCCATCTCTCTCTCTCATTCCTATCACAGGAAATCGAAATCTTTCCCAATCTAGGTCAAGCCTTTCTTCTCTTTTCTACTCTCCTTTAGTGTCTAACTCATAACATCTGCTCAGAGGGCCTATAAACTTCTGTTTTTGTTTTCCCTAATCATACACAAACACACAGACACAACACTAGTTAATATTACCTGAGACACAAGAACCAAGACCTAAATCAGTTAACTAGTTGTGATACAGGAGGGAAAACAAGGCTTTGTGAGGGATTTATCTGAACCTATATTTATAACAGAATTGGGTTGCTGGAACATAGTGCATGAATATATTTTATTTTGCTATATTTTTTTTGCCAGATTGCTTGTCAGAATGGCTTCAGTTTATAGTTCCACCATCAATATATGACAGTTCCTCTCTATAAATTCTCATCCAGATTTTTGCCATTTCAATAGGAGCTAATTTAACTTGTTTTTACAGTGACTACTGGGGAGGTGTACATCTCTTTACTTACTGATGGATACTAGTTCAGTCCTTTTCATGAATTGTTTATTCAAATTACTTTCTTATTTCCCACTTAGGTTTCCTACTGACTTACACAAATCTTTTGTGAATCTATGTATGCTCTACTAGTCTGTTATTTTTCTGTAACTTTGTTTTATAATTAACAGAATTCTTTAATTATTGTATAGTTAAGTCCATATATTTTTGCTCTTTTCCTTTTAATTTAGGGATACTATTTATGAAAGTTGCATTTTGCAAAAATATATTTCTTTATATTTTGTATCAGCAAAAGGATTTACTTTTCAAATGTAGATTTATTCCATCTAGGATCCATCTTTGCTTGTGGTCTAATGTAGGGGCCCAACTCTATTTTCTTTGATTTAGTGAGTGTGTCTTGCCAGAATCATCTACTAATCAATCTGTTCCTTTTTGTTTACCGTATGATGCCATCTTTGTCATATATCAAGTTCTCAAATAAATATGGTCTGCTATTGGACCGGTACTCTAATGTTTTTTTTAATACTGTGGCCTGGACTATGTTAATATCTGACTAGTAAGTCATCAGTCTTTGCCGTTCTGTTTCAAAATAAACTTAGGTACTTTGGGACATTTGTTCTTCTATGGAAATTCCTGGAATAGCCTGTTGTGTTTCTTAAAAATTCATCTGCAATATATTGAGATTTTATTGAATCTATTTGTTGATTGACTTGGACAAACTGACACATTTTCACTGTTACTTTTCTTATCTATGCACGTAGTGTATTTCCATTTATCAATTCTTTTAATCTCTTCAATATAAATTTAAACGTAGAGAACTTTGGGGAGATTTGATTTTAGTATGAGTCTAATGCTAAGTCTATCATTCCTGTCAGTGAAGAAGCAAAAAGAAACACCAGGGGTGAAACTTGTCCTCGGCATTACTTTGAGTTATGCTGAATAAAACATGGTTAGGAGATAGCATAGTGATTTAAAACAATCACTGTGGGATCAGGGCCCTTGGCTGGACTCCTGGCTCTACTCCTTACTAAATTGGGCAATTATATAATCTCAGTTTCCTCATAAGAAAGAAAAAAAGAAAGTATAATAACATTGGTTAGCTCATAAGGTTGTTGGAAGGATTAAACGAAAGAAAAAATGTAAAGGCATTGGTCCAATTCTTGGCTTATAGCAAGTATTCAATAAATATTAGATACATATTGAGTGGCAAGTGTCAAAGCCTAAGCTAGATCCTTAATCGTAATCATGGTAAATACATTTCCTCTAGCCACCAAACCCAGGTATATCACTGCCTGAGTTGCTCCCTTCCCATCTTGTACAAAGAAAATGTGCTTTGTCTTTATTTAATGTCTACTTGTTCATGATCAAAAATAAACACTGCAAATTTATACCTTCAAGTAGGTGTTTGTGTTTATTTATTTCCCATAAGGGTACATTGGTGTTTTATATTTTTTCTATTCCAATATCTGTTATCAGTACCTATGTAAAAGGAAAAGCCTATTTCCCTTGTTCTAGATTTATGAGCCTGACTTGGACTTACAAAGGCTTAAATCGAGTAGGATGTACTAAATTTATCTGATGTTTCTTGGGAGGCATCATCATTTCCTAGCTCATGCTCATGTATAAGTCTGCAATTCTTCATTATTTACAACATATTTAAATCTATTTACTTATTTTTGTTGGAGGAGGTAATTGGGAGAATGTGACCTCCAGTTGAGCTGCAAACTGGACCCAGGCAATCGGTGGCTCCTCACCTCCTACCCTGACCCTGGAATGTATGTTCTGCCCACCATTCCCACAGCAGGAGCCATTTTCAAGGACGCAGCCTTGAGGGAGCAATGTGTTATTGAGATGGTCTGGACTGTATGCATGACTGAACCCAGTTAAGTCCTCTATCTAAACTTAAGATTCTGGTGGGCAGGCGCAAAGATCTACTTGTCTTGCGGCCACCCAAGACAATCTTTGTAGGTAAGTTCCTTTGCTTTTTAAACCTGCCACCTACCAATCTCGAGTGGTCTGCCTCTTTCTTTGGTCTCTTCTTGCCCTCATCATATGGGGGCCAGTTTCAGATTTCACTGGGGGAGCTGCTGAGTGTAACAACCAACAAATTTATTCTGGTAGATGGATATTTTTTATATGTATGTTTCCATTATATAGATAAATAACCTTAATTTCAGAGAACTTAAGTGACTTGGCCAAGGTTAAATAAACAGTAGTGTCAGAACTGAAGCCTGAAATCTGGTTTCCTCACTTTCATTATCATGTCCTTTCTATTTTCTCTTCAATGTTAAGGAGGAACATTGAGTACAAACCTTCAGGGCTCTAAAAACTTAAAAAGGTGTATGCTGGAATGACAATTGACAGTGAGTTCTAGGGTGAATCTGAAATATGATTTTAGAAAGAAGAGTCCTAGAGAAATTAATTTGCAGGGACATGCCATGCATATCTTGGGCCATATACACCACATATATTTTTAAAGTTTTTCTTTATGTGTGCCAAACATTCCACACCACTGAGAACTACTACATAGATTTCTAGTCTGATGGGTTTGTATGACAAGAGATTGTGATTTAACTTTCTCACATATTTGGAAGGGAAGATTTTCCTTTTGTGAATCTCCTGCAGTCTCACAAAACCAGCCAAGCTTGCACGCCCAGGAGCTCACTTCTTGGATCCCATGGCTCAGTAGAGAGGCAAACCCTAGGGCTATTTTGAGTCCCCACCCCACCCCAAACGTGTCTTGGACGGGTGGAAGTTTGACACAGAAGGGCACAGAGCAGCATGCCAAAAATGACACCCCTTGGAGCCTTTATTTTCCTTCTTAAGTCAGGCCACACAGAGAATCATTTAGCCACAGCAAAAGCTCTTCAGCACATATCAGAACTCCTTAGGCAACTGCGAGAGAGGACACACAAATGTGAGAGCCACCTAGAGCAAATGTCACAGTATGTGCTGGATGAGCACATTCCATTCCCCCACGTGGCAGCGGGGCCCTGGGCTGTGTTCTCTGAAGTTCTAATGCAAGCTGTCCAAAGCCTCATGAACTTAGTAATGGAGCACCTCTTTGTGGGGCCCTCTGTGAGTTAAAAGCACCAGCTCTGTGAATGGAGATGGTCTCTTGGCTTCCCAAGCCAATAAGCAGAGCCTCCTGAGGGCATATGGACATGCTCTAGCTGACTGAGGAGAGCAGGCTTTAGGCTTAAAGCCCTTGCTAGAAGGCAGAGAAAGAGGAAGTGTCCCCGGTGCTTAGCAGGCTGCCCCTCTCCCTGCTAAATTTTTAACCATACATTTTGCCCCATTAAATCAGAATTGATGAAACCTTTACAAATGTGCAGTGTCTGAAAACTGAAAATCACACTGAAAAATAACAATCTCGTTGACTATAGAAGGCAAGTTTTTCAAATCGAGTAATGATGTGATGTGTGTGGTTAACCGTATCTACGCAGGAAGTGGTTTATTTAAAAGTTTTTGTGCTCACTCCACACCCACCCCACCCCACCCCACCCCGCCTTTTTTTTCCTCCAGTACTGAAATTAAGCAGCATCCAACCTAGGCCTACTTTTACGACATGTGACTTGACTTTACTGTTTTCCGTTTTTGCTAAAAGAGTCATTAACAGAAGTTGATGGCAGTTTCAATAACAAGTCAGCACTGAGGAAAGGTAAGTGAGCTCATACTGAACGTGCAATTTAACCTTGAAAATATCTGACAGAGTATCCTATGCTTCAGTGGGAATGTATAAACTTTTCCTACAAAATTGTGATGTTTTCATTTGTGATTGAAACATCAGTTTGTTTCCTTTGGTGTAGAGAAGAATATTGTTTTTAAATTGCAACAGTTAAATTCTAAAGTACTTTAAAAGATCATATACTAAGATTTTATATGAAAATATTAAAAACAGAATAAGGTATAGTTTTAGTTTGAAAGTGCTTTTAAAAATTGGGACTTTGTATCTTTAACTGACTGCTTTATAAAAATATGCACTCTTCATGATCCAGATAATAAAGAGAAAAAGGCATTTTGTAACAATTAGAAATAACATCTGAATTGCATGCAGTGTGAAAGATACCCACTGTAAAGTGTTGTAGTAAAGTCAGCATTAGAAACCCTTAAAAGGTGTAGTTTATTAAATTTACAGCTTATTAAATAGCTATTAAAAAGCAGGAAATTTTCAAAATGCCAAAGAAATTTCTCTATCATGACATCTGATTTTTTCCCTAAATTTTATTTAAGATATAGTGTGAAATGAGGGCAAGTTTCTATTTCATAAGCAAAACTGTACGTTTAAAGGAGAAGTCACAGATGACTTCACAGGGGGTTACTTCTGGGAAAAGAGGCAAATTAGAAATATACTTCTGTTATTTAGGTAATTATATAATTTTCCTTCTTTGAGATTTCTAAAACAATAACCTCAGAAATTAAAAGGATTTGTTAATCATTAACTGACAAGAACTTTTCTTGTATAGTGACTTCTTGCTTTTATAGAATGTCTTTGTGTGCTGTAACATATGTACGAAAAATATAAAAGTATTGCTCATCTCAGAGACAAATACCTAAAATAAATCTGACTGTAGATTTTTGAAGGAATTTTAATAAAAGCTCCAGATACGATCCACCCTTCCGTAATATTATTTTTATTGTGCTGTTGGATGGGGGACATGAGGGCCCCACAACACCTATTTTTTTGTATTATTAAAAAACGGTTACAGGGTTGATAAATGGCAACAATTTTCTTTTCTTTTATTGTCTTCTATTGAAACACTCATATAAATGTTTTTTGATGCGGTCAATTTGGTAGGAAATTATTAGTTATACTAGTACACTCCATTTTAAGACCTCTTCAATTGTCAATACTGAAGCTAGCTACTTGTTGACTATTCAAATGATCATGAAAAAACAGAGATTAGGACTTGATATTCAATACATTTTTTATTGTTAGAGTGTAAGAGAACCTTGGTAATATGTATTTGCTTTGATATTCTGATTAGCTTTTCAATTTGCTGCATTTTCTCACAATGGAAAGCATTATTTAAATCTGTCTTCAATACTGTGGTTCTGAACCTCTGCATCTACAGAAGCTTAATAATTCAGATAGTTTTGGTTGATATGTTATTACTTTATTTCATTTTATTATAAAAGAATATCACATGAATGAACATATGTAGTACTTACATATTAGCAAGAATGAATATCCACATAAGCCTTTGGTATTGAAAAAAGTCCACTACAGTTTTTTAAATAATTTAATATTTTTATAAGCCAAATCTTTGTAAAATGATTGTTTCCTGCAGAAACTGTTAAATTAAAAGACAAATATTTTATGGAGTATGTATAAAATTAAGAATTAATTAAACATACTTAATATGGATTTATAAAGAGAAATAAGTAGAGATGATATTCATGTAACCTAAGATGCTCTCAGAATTGTTTGTAAAAACTACTAATGCATTATCTCTGGGATGTAAAGACCAAATCTTAAGAGGGTAAATTACAAATGAGTTATTATAGGTAGGTTACTATATCTTTATGTATTTTAAGCGAATAAGAAACAAATTTTGATGAAATAAAAACAATGCAGAGAATCTCATTTGGAAAGTCTTTAAAAAAAAAAATAGGGGGCTTCCCTGGTGACGCAGTGGTTGAGAGTCCGCCTGCCGATGCAGGGGATACGGGTTCGTTCCCCGGTCAGGGAAGATCCCACATGCCGCGGAGCGGCTGGGCCCGTGAGCCATGGCTGCTGAGCCTGAGCGTCCGGAGCCTGTGCTCCGCAACGGGAGAGGCCACAACAGTGAGAGGCCCGCGTACCGCAAAAAAAAAAAAAAAAAAAAAGCTTTTCTACTTGGGGCCAGGATTCAGCAAAATTCAGAAAGGAGACATTTCCCCGCCTTGATATTCCTTCTCTTGTTCTTTTTAAGTGTTCTGTCCCAGAGTGGCCTACTCTGTCCCCAACTTAAGGTGTGCCAGCCTTGGTCCTAGAGAAATACACCCTACACTTTTCCTTCCATCACACTCCCATTGTTCTTAAAATGTACTCATCCTATTTTCCAGAAGTTAGGGCATCTGATAAAAATAATCCATGCTCACAAGAGAGGGCTCCAGAGCTTTGTTTCTTGTAACCTGTAATTCAGGCCTCCCTTCCTCCTCCCAGTAGAATTTTAATAAATTCTCTCAGCAGACAGGATCCAAGGGAACGGCTAACTGTTGAGGACCTCAGTCTCAAGTGAGGAGACTGATGCCATTACAAACAGTTTGGGGAAAATATTTTGGGGGAGAAAGAGTGTTTTGTTAACCATTCGTCTTGTCTATGGCATTTAAACAAAATTTCTGAGTATGTTTTATGTGAAGGGTCCATCACAGAGATGTGTCCATTTCTCTAAGATATTCCTTAAGAAATATACATCTTTCTTGTAGTGGATGAAAATTAACTGCACTACATCTTCAGACTATTTTGGTATTCCCATACACTTAGAAACTATCTAACATAATCAAAAGTTTTACTTATGTATTTTAAAAATCATTTAATATCCTGAATTTAGCACTTTGGGTACCATATTTTTTGTACTGCAAGATAAATGTTATATAACTAAACTATAAAATGTACTTATAAGTATTCTAAATTTTAGCTTACGGTAGACAAAACTCCTTTGCTTGCAAATGATAGAAAATAAGCTAAAGTTAGCCTAGGCAATAGAGATAGGCACTGATTTGTATAACTGAAATTCCAAGGAAAGAAAAGTCAGGCTGGATCCAGCAGCTCACACAGATTTACCAAGATCATTTTCTTCATCCCTTAGCTCTTTTTTTTCACTCCACTATAAACAGTCTCTGGTAGAAGCTCACACTAAGTTGACCAGAAGGCTTCAGGTTTACCTCTGACCCTTTCAGCAAACTTTGTACAAAAGAATGCCTTTCCCCCATCACCACAGCAAAGGTACCTCAGATTGAGATCTGATTGGACTGAAGTGGGTCACGTAACCATACTGAACCAATCACTGCCTCTGAGACACAGACACCCTGCGTGACCAGGCCTAAGGTCACTGGCCCACTCTTGCATTGATGAGCCACCTGCCCCTGCAACACCTGGACTCTCCGCTGAAAAGAGGGGTCCCTACACTGAGGAACTAAAATTCTTCCCCCAGAAGAAAAGTGACTTTATGTCTTAGAGGTAATACAGCCATAGAAAACTACCACACGGCCACATCGGGTCACATTTAAAACCAGTACTTAAATTTTCCAACCTCTGTAATCAGACAGAAAGACGGCGTCAGTTAGCACAGGTCTGAATGAAGCAAGTGTTTCAATTAAACTGAATTTTAAAGTATTTTTCAACAGCTACTCCATGTACAAACCCCTGCCCCACAATACTTGTCTTCTAAAAGCTTATAATCCAGTAAAAGTACAAGATTAATAATTATAATGCCAACAACTTTTTATCAAGTACCATAAAAAGATATAAGAAATATTCTATTAGGATTCAGAATTTCATCAAACATTTTTGTCTTCCTGTTATATGGCGGGCAATAAACTAGAAAATTTTGCAGGTGTTGTATCATTTATCATATCCAGTCAGAGAAATCAGGGCAGTTTTGGAAGAAATATTTGTACAGTAGTTCCCCCTTCTCCAGGGTTTTGCTTTCCGCGGTTCCAGTTACTTGCAGTCAACCACCGTCCGAAAATGTTGAAGGGAAAATTCCAGAAATAATCCATGAGATTTAAATGACTCACCTTTCTGAGGTAGTGTGAGGAAGTCTCGCTGCCGTGCTCCGGGCCGGCATCTTCGCGTCCAGCGTTTCCCCCGTGAGGCACTAAGCTGCCTTCCCGCTTATCAGATCGTCGCTCTCGCGAGTGTGAGGTATGAGGTATCGCGGTGCTGGCGTTTGCGTCCCCTTTAATTCGCTTAATAGTGGCTCCAACGCGCGAGTAGTGCTTCCGGCCAATCGGACATGCCAAGGCATATCCTTGCAGTGCTTCCTCTAAGCGATAGGGTGCCAGAAAAAAAATTCGTAGTCCGAGGTTGCCCAGATGTACTGTACGGACGGACCTGAATTTTCTAGCCGTGAAATTGTGAAGAAGGAAAAATAAATCTCTGTCCATTTTGTTGTGGCACCTCCAACTGCAAAAGTTATGGCTGCAGTGTGTGGTAAGTGTTTAATTAAGATGAAAACGGCATTGAATTTGTACAATAAGATATTGTGTGTGTGAGAGAGAGACAACATTCACATAACTTTTATTTTTTTAATTTTTTATTGCTGTACGCGGGCCTCTCACTGTTGTGGCCTCTCCCGTTGCGGAGCACAGGCTCCGGACGCGCAGGCTCAGCAGCCATGGCTCACGGGCCCAGCCGCTCCGCGGCATGTGGGATCTTCCCTGACCGGGGCACGGACCCGTGTCCCTTGCATCGGCAGGCGGACTCTTAACCACTGCGCCACCAGGGAAGCCCCACATAACTTATATTACGGTATATTGTTATAGTTGTTCTATTTCTTTATTAGTTGTTGTTAATCTTTTACTGTGCCTAATTTATAAATTAAACTTTACCATAGGTATGTATGTATAGGGAAAAACATAGTCTATATAGGAGTCGGTGCTATCGTTTCAATATCCATCGTGGCTCTTGGAATGTGTCCCCGTAGATAAGGAGTGGGGGGTGGACTACTGTGA